TGCACATGCTATTGCCTGAGTCATCAACCAGAAGATTTCGGCACCTGCACAAAGTCGCAGAAGCTGTCTTAGTTATTGGCCACAGCAATGCAGGAGAGGAACGCCTGTTCAGCATGGTTCGCAAGAACAAAACTGATAGCCGGTCTGCTCTAAGTCTTGAGGGTACTCTTTCAAATTTGCTTTCCATGAAGCTACATTATCCTGAAGACTCTACCCCATGCTATAAGTGGAAACCAGAAGAAGCGCTCATGAAAAAGGCAAAAGGAGCAGCAAAGGAATATAACAATGAACATAAATGAAATGATGCATAAAACAATGACGTTTTAGTAAGTAAACTGTTGAGTTAAAGTTTTATTTTGGAGGACAGTAATTAAAAATTGCTATGTCACGAACATAGGTCAGTCATGTGCAGGCAATGATTACAGTAATTGTCTTATCCAGAATTACCCCAGATTTTCAGTATTTTATCTCCAGAATTAAGGGTCAATCTCAAGAAACTTTCGATCAGATTTCCAGATTTGTTGCTGTTGGAGGTTGGCAGGTCTGGGTTAATATTACATAACTAAAATAACTCAAGGGGGTAGATCTAATATTAGCATTAAGGACAGGGTTAAGTTGAGATATTAATAGGCTTTCACGGATAAGAAGATCCCACTCAGAAGTGCCTGATGATAGGATTTTGAAATCAGAAGCGGAGACTGGGTGTTTGTGCATGTGTTTGTGAGTGAGTATACCAGACATGGTTGAGATAGAGCGTTCTTTTCCAGTCAAAGGCGAGATTCCCATATGATCTGAGATACGTGTGTGAATGTGTCGGCGTGTTTGGCCAACATACAATGCGCTACAGCATTGACACGTGAACTGATACACAACATCTTAACTCAGGGCAATGGGAATCCTGTCTTTAAATGGAAAGAAACTAGAAAGGCGACAAAAGGGATGGAAAACAACACATATGGAAATATGTGGATAAGCAGAAGCAAGAACTTTACTAAGTTGTGAACGGATATGTAGACCATGATGTCCAGTGAAAGGAAGGCAAAAGTAAACAATTTTCTTGGAACATATATGGACCTTGTCTTTAGTGTTGTAAATCTTGTCAAGAAATATCTTAATGCAACTATCTATAAGTGCTTTAGGATAACCATTGGAAGAAAAGGTTTTCTTGAAATTTTCCATTTCAGACTGGAAAGATATGTAAGAAGAACAAATATTGAAATATCGAGATATAAGAGAGAAAAGGAGACCTTTTTTGTACATCATTGTGGAATAAAGCTATCAAAGTTTGTGAATAAGCCAGTTGAAGTGCATTTGTGATGGACTGAGGTTGTGAATGAGCCGTTTGAACGCATTATGTTAACATCAAGAAAAGGGAGCGAAGAATTGTTTTCAAGTTCATGTGTGAATTGAATATTTGAATGTTTGGAATTGAGATAAGAGAGGAAGGGAAGCACATGATCACGGGATTGAAAGATCAGAAAACAATCATCAACATAACGACGATAAAACAAAGGTTTAAAGTTAGAAGGGCAGTCAGCTAACCAGGATTTTTCATGGAATGATAGAAAGATGTTAGCAAATGGGATTGTTATCATAAACTGCAGCGACTGTAAATCTAGAATGTTTGACATTCTTAAGGATAACACTAAATTCGAACAGTTAAAAATGCAGAAATCTAATATATATAAAGAAACTGTAAAACGTGAAGACAAAGTTCATAAACTCCTTAATGAACGCAAGAATGAAGAACTTATATCTGAACAACAGCATGATGAACTTACGCCCATTGGCTCTCGGCCAGGTATTCTATATGGTTTACCTAAAGTTCATAAACCTAATTTTCCTTTAAGGCCTATTATATCTGCTATAGGAACTCATGCTTACAAACTTGCTAAGTTTCTTGTACCACTTCTCCGTCCTTTTTCCACTAATTCTTACACTATTTCTGATACATTTATTTTTGTTAAGGAATTACGTGAGCTGCAGATTAATACTGTTGTAATGGCTAGCTTTGATGTTAAGTCACTTTTTACTAACATACCTTTAGATGAGACTATTAGTATAATTGTTAATAAGTGTTTCTATAATACCTCGTGCTTTCACGGTTTCACAGTTGATCAATTACTCGACTTCTTAACTTGTCTGTAAAGAATTGTCATTTTCTATTTGATGGTGCTCTTTATAAGCAGGTTGATGGTGTTGCAATGGGTTCACCACTTGGTCCACTGTTTGCTAACATCTTTCTATCATTCCATGAAAAATCTTGGTTAGCTGACTGCCCTCCTAACTTTAAACCTTTGTTTTATCGTTGTTATGTTGATGATTGTTTTCTGATCTTTCAATCCCGTGATCATGTGCTTCCCTTCCTCTCTTATCTCAATTCCAAACATTCAAATATTCAATTCACACATGAACTTGAAAACAATTCTTCGCTCCCTTTTCTTGATGTTAACATAATGCATTCAAACGGCTCATTCACGACCTAAGTCCATCACAAATGCACTTCAACTTGTTTATTCACAAACTTTGATAGCTTTATTCCAATGATTTACAAAAAAGGTCTCTTTTCTCTCTTATATCTCGATATTTCAATATTTGTTCTTCTTCCATATCTTTCCAGTCTGAATGGAAAATTTTAAGAAAACCTTTTCTTCCAATGGTTATCCTAAAGCACTTATAGATAGTTGCATTAAGATATTTCTTGACATGATTTACAACACTAAAGACAAGGTCCATACATGTTCCAAGAAAATTGTTTACTTTTGCCTTCCTTTCACGGGACATCATGGTCTACATATCCGTTCACAACTTAGTAAAGTTCTTGCTTCTGCTTAGCCACATACTTCCATACGTGTTGTTTTCCGTCCCTCTTGTCGCCTTTCTAGTTTCTTTCCATTTAAAGACAGGATTCCCATTGCCCTGAGATCACATGTTGTGTATCAGTTCACGTGTCAATGCTGTAGCGCATTGTATGTTGGCCAAACACGCCGACACATTCACACACGTATCTCAGAGCATATGGGAATCTCGCCTTTGACTGGAAAAGAACGCTCTATCTCAACCATGTCTGGTATACTCGCTCACAAACACATGCACAAACACCCAGTCTCCGCTTCTGATTTAAAAATCCTGTCATCAGGCACCTATGAGTGGGATCTTCTTATCCGTGAAAGCCTATTAATATCTCAACTTAACCCTGTCCTTAATGCTAATATTAGATCTACCCCTCTTGAGTTATTTTAGTTATGTAATATTAACCTTAACTATATACTAACCATACATTAATCTTAACTTATTAACTAGTCACTGATAAGTTGTTTTCCTTTCTTTCTATTCATTTGTTCTTTCAAACTATGTAACAGTTTTTGTAATATTAAACCATTATTTTGTAAATATATATACCATACCCTGTAAATTTATTTAGATTGCTCTGAAGATGTTGTATTGTAAACAACGAAACGTTAGCTAATAAATGTTTTACTTTTATTATCTTTGGATTTAAAGTTATTTGCTGGGCTCTGCTCTTTATCTTTAAACTAAAATTTCCACCTGGTGTATCAATTGCCACAGTTTTATGGATAAATAGCCATAAGAAAACCAAGATAATCTATTTCATACTAAGATGCAAGGTGGAAAGAAAGGATCATTGACACTTCTTGACTTGATGGAACGATTTCCTTTTTAACCCATTAAGTGGGGAAATCATTGACACTTCTTGACTAGCAGATGAATTATGGAACAATTTCCATTTTACAGGGAGGCAGATAGTCTGATTAGTTATATCACTTATATGGTAACTATAGTAGGGTGGGTGCATTGCCACTTAATTAATGGGTTAACAGGGTGCATAGGCAGATAGTCCGATTAGCATAGAGAGACAGTTAAATTGGTTACCAGTACGGCAAAGAATCGTTTTTAAAATTTTAACTTCAACACGCTTCATGATGTGAATTCTCCTCAATACTTAAAATATATGCTGTAGCTTTACAATCCTCCATGCAGTCTCCGTTCATCCTCAAAGAATTTACTTTCTGTTCCCAAATTTTAATTGAAATTGTATGGTGCTAGAGCTTTCTCTGTTTGTGCTCCTGTTCTGCGGAACAATTTGACAGATTATATCAGACAGTCGGAATCAATTAATTAATTAACCCATTGAGCGCTTCGTTTTTTTACTTGTCTAATCCAGATGATTTTATTTGTCAAATTGTTTTCAATGGGGGAATCTCTGCAGCTTAATGAGTTAACGTTTTTAAGTAAACTCAAAACATTTTTTATATAAACAAGCCTTTTTTGTATCTGCGAAGCAGATATATTGCCATCGTGCGCGTACCGGAAATTTGTAAGCGTGCTCATAGCCAATCAACGACAGCTTATATAGTCCGCATGTTGTGGCACGATTTCGTTCAGTTTCATTAAGCACCCTTTAGAACTGAGTAATTTTTACAAAACTTACCATTTTTGACCACGCTTAATCCGAATCCGAAGAGTTCCCAAGTCGTAGACCCGCAGTTTTTTTGTATTTTGCCATTTTAATTATCGCTCTTCATCAATAACACGGCGCCATCTTTAATTTATTCCGTGCCTGTTCACAAAATTCCATTCGTTACACTTCCATACATTATACCCCAGGCCACCAAATTTATGACCGAGTAAGACATTTGAATGATGGAATGTAATCTCTATAACAGGACTGGATAACCAATAATTTGCATAAAAACAAAAGAATATAGATAATTTTATTGTTTTGAAAGCTTGAAATAATATAAAATAACTATATGGCAGTTAATGCTGGATCATCTCCTTGCATTGTTCCCATTGAAGGCAAACTTGGTCCTGAAAAACAATTGACAAATGAAACATTGCAAACAATAGTTAACCGAAGAAGAGAATGGCTTGAACTTCCCGAGCATGAGAAATAGAATACATCCAGGAATATTGCCGAGAAGTCATTTGAATATATATCTGATGGTATCGAAAATATCCAGGAGCTACATGGTGTTATGTCGTATCACCTGACATGTTATCGAAGTTTCACGGACATCACTAAATTGGAAAGGGCCCGGAAAATAGCGGCAAGTGAACCTCCGAAACGCTGCAGTGCTAGTACGGATGAGCATGGCGATCCAGCAGAAAAAGTGCAGCGAACAACTAGACAATCGTTCGGTGTTAATTATGGTATTGAAGCAACGCCGAGGTCGTCGAATGTTCTTCCAAAATGCTGCTTGATTTGTAAAGAATCTGGACCTATATATGTCACTAATACGGTACGAATTAGTTAAGATATTATTATTTAAGCAGATATTAAATGCGTGCTTAACGGATCGGAAGTGCTTCATAAAAGTATTAAAAAGATTACAAACACCTAGATTTACGCACTGTCGTTTTTATTTTTTAGGCTTCGAAGAAGCGCGTAAAGCAAGATCTCTCTCTCGCACAAACGGTAACTGCTGGGCTGCTACAAAAGGCTGCCGAAATGAGAAATGATGAAAGTGTACTCGTACATATTAGAGGAAAAGATTGTGTTGCAGTAGAAGCAAGATATCATAAGAAGTGCTACCAAAAGTACACAAAAGTTTTGTCGAACATAAAGAATACGAAACCGCCAGTTACTGAACCCACGGTTTATGACAAAGCGTTTGATTTATTCTGTTTAAACGTTATGGAGAAAAGAATAATCAACAATAAAGAAATATTGCTTCTGAGTTATCTTCTCAAGAAATTCATTGGCATTGTTAATGAAATTGACGGTAGTGATGTTCCATACCAAAGCGCGCGCCTAAAGAAGAGGATCCAATCACGATACCCACAAGTAGTCTTTCATGCGTCTAAAACAATGGTAAAAGGAACGCTGGTGTACTCTGGCGACATTGTACCTGGGGAAATAGCAGATGATATGTTGGAAGCGGATCGAAGTGATAGCGATGAGGAAGACGATGACGATGAAGCTGAAAACAACGTAGGCGAAGGTTTAAACCGAAATGCATGTGATATTGCTCCACATCAATTATTTCACGTAGCAATGGAAATTAGAAAGATGTTGAAGGAAAGCAAAGGCATTGATGGATGGCCCCCTGATTCAAGTGATCTGACTCTAGAACGTGCAACGGAATCGATCCCAACTAAACTGTTCAACTTCATCGCTTGGACACTTGGGTATTCAAACGAACCCGCAATGGATGAAAGAGTGGTGATGTCTCGCAGTCAAATGTGCAAAGTCGTTTCAATATGTCAAGATCTCGTATATGCTGAAGCAAAAGGGAAGAAACAGATGCAAAAATCGCTGGCTCTCGGTATGACTGTGCGCCAAATTTCTGGATCAACAAAGCTCATCAACATTTTACATGGACTTGGCCACTCGGTTTCATCGTCTATTGTGTGCAAACACGACTCGGCACTGGCTTCGATTAGTAATGCATCTGATGATGTGATTATCCCAAGGAATATCAATGTTGGGCATTTTACCACGATTGTTTGGGATAATAATCACTTTAATGAGGAAACTCTTACTGGTAAAGGTACCACGCATGTTGCAAATGGAATCGTGATTCAAAGAGGCGAGCCTGCTCTTAACAGCAAGGTGATCGTGAGTAAGAAGATACGTACTGTGAAGGCTCCTGATCATGATATTCAACCATACATCAGCACAAAGAAAGGCGTACCATTACTATGTCAAGATAGCGCTGAACTTGATCTAGACATTCACAACAATCATCAGCTCCAACTACCTGGAATAAATCTCGACTTTGCTTACATAATATGCCGAGTATGTTCGTTCGATATTGGAGATATCATACCTGGGTGGTCAGGATTTAACAGTCAGATGGTTGCAAATGTGCCTGATGTATCTAACATCGGTTACCTTCCAGTGATCGATAGTCCAGCCACAGACTTGGCAACAGTCAACGAGATGCTGAAACAGAGTGTTTCCATTAGCCAACGCCTCGAGCTTCCTGAAATCGTTCTTGTATTTGATGAAGCTATCTATGCAAAGGCTCAGATGATAAGATGGAAGGAAGAAGAATTTAGAAATCGAATTGTCGTTCGACTTGGAGAATTTCATACAATTATGTCGTACTGTAGTGGAATTGGTAAGATTTTCCAGGATGCTGGTTTAAAGGTAATAACTAATACACTGTGAATGGTCGCTGCATGCAAATAACTGAGAAATGTGCAATTCTATATATGGTCTATGTTCCTGTACCTGCATGCACGTTTATGGTTTATTTTTAACCATTGTTCTGTTTCATGTTTTAGGATATAATGATAGAATCCGAGATTGTTGCATCGGGTTCTGTTAAAGGGGTTCTTACAGGGAAGCACTACAACCGATGTATCAGAGCGCATAAAGTGGTTTTCGAGGCAATGCAACGACTTCGTTTCTTAGCCTTTTACGAGTCTCTACCAGATAACGAAGCTGAGAAGCTGAGTTCTTTCAGTGTTGATTTGCTCGACAGTATTGATGAAACCCTGCCTGAATTCTGTTCGAATGACGATCGTTTCATCGCTTGGAAAGAGGCGTTCAATTCGTTCGTAAAGAAGCGTAGTGAAGAAAACCCTACCTTTTTGTTTTGGTCTACTTACATCGACATGATCCAGTTGTTGTTACTGTTCGTTCGAGCAACAAGAACGTCCGACTGGCAGTTACATCTTTCCGCCCTGAGGTCAATGATCCCATGGTTCTTTGCTACCGATAGAGTCAACTATTCCCGATATGGGCCCTGCTACTGGCTGGAAATGTCTTTACTTGAAAGCACGCATCCCTGTGAGTTCTTTAATGAAGTCTCAGTTTGTATATACGTGTATATATTTATTGCATTTACTAAGAGAATAAATCAGGAGAGAACAATGCTTTATAAAAAGTGGTAATATACTTCAATATAATAATTATGTTCAAAATGTAAAGCTGTACCATCATTGTCATAATTTTCTTACAGATGTTGCTGAAAATATTGAAGACAACTGGACTGTGCAAAGACAGAAGGACCGTCAATTCTCTAGTGTACCGTGTGATCAGACAATCGAACAAACCTTAAACAAGGATTCCAAGATGAAAGGTGGCTTAGTGGGTTTCACTTTAAATAGAGGAGCAGTCCACCGCTGGATTTTGGGGCAAGCTGAAAGAAGCGCAATCTCGAGAATGTGTCAAGACATGGCAAATATATCAGAAGTAACAAGGTATAGTATATTAATAGAATATCCTTGATTCTATAGACATTTTTACAGACAGCCTTGAAATGCAGCATAATGTTCTGATGTTAAATGTAAGCTCTAGTTACCATCGTTGTATTCACAATCTTGCAGAGGACTAAAGGACTTGGATAAAACTAGAATCAAGTATGATGCTAATGCTGTCGCAGACGTTATGGAGTTGGTCAACACGATGATAAACCCTTTCGATAACGAGTATCCATCCCTTGTGCATTTGTGTAATGGATCTGTCGCCTCTGATGATGTTGAATCTGACATGAAGAACATGTACGAAAGAGGTGAAGCTGCAGCAGTGAGTTATATAGATACAAATATCCTTTCGGAGAATCCTGATATCTACACGCCAATTAAGAAGATGAATTTACGAACATTCTCTTCCATGAACAAGAAGGTTAGAAGCAAGACAAAGAAAGGTGAGATTGTGGCGTTGAAGAATTCAAAGAATTTGTTTGCTAAGATGGTCCTCATTGCAAGAAGCCGAGATCTGGATATGAAAGATGTTCTGCAGTATTCGTTGAGACCGTTCCCATTACCTTTAGCAACCGTGGAGGGAAATCTCGTAAAGACCACCAAGTCAAAGTTGCTCAACACAATTGAGAGTGAAACTCAAGATGCATTTGTGGAAAGCGTTGATGGCGAAAGTGCTCTGATCGTTGATGCAATGGCCATACTTCAGATGATGAAGGTAGCTTCAAGCACGTTTGGTGAGCTAGCGCATGATTTGTTGATAAAAATTATAAAGATGGCGACATTGTCAAGATCGAAAAGAATTGATTTCGTTGGCGACCGGTATCCAACACACAGCATCAAGAACCTAGAACGGGAGAAACGCAGTGAAGGTGGATCGTTCTTGGTGAAGATTTACGGTGAACAACAGCGTGTTCCTCGTCAATGGAAAAAGTTTTTGTCCAATGGAAAGAACAAAGAAGAGTTGATGAAATTCCTTTTCGAAGTTTGGAGCATAGCAAATCCCCAACTTCTAAATGGTGTCGAGGTCTTCATCACACACGAAAACAAATGCCACAAATTAACAGAATCGAATAATGTTTTGATCTGCTGTAATGTCGAAGAACTAACATGTGATCATGAAGAAGCAGACACCAGAATGGTACGCACATTAAAAAAGGAAGTAACCAAGCGACTGTATTTATAGACAGATGCGGAAATTCACTTTTTCCGGTGGGGGGGGGAGCAAAGCCTTCTAAATTTCCGACAAAACTTTCAAATTTCCGACATACCCCCATTTGCACTTGAAAAGAAAAAGCCCTTTTTTAGGTCAAAAAGCCCCACCAAGATTTCCGCCACTGTTTATAGAGGGTAAAACTTAACATAATCCCCCAAAACTAGTAAGGTGCATGGTCAAGTGATCAGTGTAACAAACTTGTTTATACTATTCACAATTCAAGTTTTCTTTAGGTATGCCATGCTAAGAACGCATCTCTGATGTACCCAAATGTCATTATAAAAAGTCCAGACACGGACGTGTTTTTCATTGCTTTGAATGCATGTTCCAAAATCAGTGCACAGATATTCTTCGAGACCGGGAATCAAAACAAAAGAAGAATAATTTCCCTTGAGAAGGTTAAGCAACACGTAGGTTCCCAGTGGTGTTCCGCGTTTGTTGGATTCCACAGCTTCACAGGTATATTAATAATAAAATCCATACGATAAAAGCTAGTATATTTTATTGGCTTGATCCAATTGCTTTACACTAATATTCCTGGGATATTAGTAACAGCTATTAGGTTTTTTGTGAAAATATTAACTACACTGGACAAATGCATAAATGGTCTGGCGTTCTCATAACGTTCGCTGTAATTACCTTTATAATTTTTATCATATTGTCCATCTCGTAATTTAAGGTTGTGATACTACAAGTTCGTTTCACGGAAAAGGAAAAACCACTACTTTAAAAGTAGCAAGAAGCAAAGATGTGCATTTATCCTGTTTCGCAAATTTGGGCACATCCGTATCACCATCAGATGAGATAATACTTCAGTTATCCAATTATGTATGCCACCTTTATGGCTATGAACACCAGTCTGATGTAAACCTAGTCCGGTACCTTGCCTTTAAAGCTGGGAAATACGAGGAAGAGATGCTACCACCTAATGAAGATTCTCTTTTGCTACACATTTATCGCGCCGTTTACCAATGTTATATTTGGAGAAATGCTACACAACCCATTCTTAACCTTCCAAATTTCACCGAGCATGGTTGGACTATTGATGAGAGTGGAAAGGTCTGTGTCAAATGGATGAGTCTTCCTCCAGCTCCTGACTCTATGCTTGTGTTGGTAAACTGTAAATGTACTAAGGGATGTGAGAACAACCGATGTTCGTGTAAAAAATCTGGTTTACAGTGTACCGATGTGTGCAAATGTTGCGACTGCAAGAACGGTAAAGCAGACAGCGATGACCCAGATGATAGTGATAATGACGTATTTGACTGTAGTGATTGCTCAAGTGATAGTGAACAAGAAAGCGATTAGTAAAAAGCACCAGTAAAAGTTCAAAGCAAGTCTCCTCACAGTTCGACACAAACCGTCCAGTTCTATTACAGAGGTCCTCTAGATTACATTCCATCATTCAAATGTCTTACTCGGTCATAAATTTGGTGGCCTGGGGTATAATGTATGGAAGTGTAACGAATGGAATTTTGTGAACAGGCACGGAATAAATTAAAGATGGCGCCGTGTTATTGATGAAGAGCGATAATTAAAATGGCAAAATACAAAAAAACTGCGGGTCTACGACTTGGGAACTGTTCGGATTCGGATTAAGCGTGGTCAAAAATGGTAAGTTTTGTAAAAATTACTCAGTTCTAAAGGGTGCTTAATGAAACTTGTTTTCTGGTTGCTTTTTTGTGCCACAACATACGGACTAATAGATGAAATGACGTAATGATACTAATTTCAAAATGGCGGCTTACTAAAGTGTGAAACAAAAGGCAATTTGTGAATTTACGAAATCAAATGCAGTTTAAAACAACGTCATTTTACTAGTCTGAATATGGAAAATATTGCTAGTGCATTTTTGGCAAGCATTTGAAAGGTTTCATCATTTAATACGCAGTGGAAACGAAATGATTTGCAATTTTGGACAAGAAAATTATTGACTAATGGCATTGAGAATACTATTATGAAATTATGAAAGTAATGATTCTTCCACATGTTGCCGTTGTTGGTGTATATCGAGTTGTAAGTGTTGATGTTGATGTTTATGTACTTCTCAATTTAACATTTTCATTGGTGACTTAGTTAATATAAATTAGTTGAATGAAACCAATAGAAGGCTATATAATTTCGTAATGTTACATAATTTCTTTATCAATGATTATAACTATAGACAATTGGTGTCTGCTTTCATTACAGACTTTGATAGATCATTTTTATACAAATTTAGCAGAGTCAGAAGCTAAGTCACACATATTGGAAACATTTCTCTTAAAGCACTTTTTAGCAGTATGTGCATTGAATAATTGCTTTCATTAAAGCAAGGCAAAGTAATAGTGGCTGCATAAAGAGCAGAGATTCAATTTAGATTGGAATATCAATACTTATAGTAACAGTTGCAACCAGTCATAATTATTAACTATATATCCTGGACGGGGTGCTCCCTTCTTCATCGACCCTGATTTCTGCAACTGAATGTCATTGCCAAGAACACCAGTTAAGCAATTTATATCCCCTTCACCTATCCCATACTATATTGTCTTATAATCAACAACAACCATATGTCATAATGGGATCTTATTTAATATAGCACACAATGTACAAAACTAACATAATATTCTGTTTAGTGGATTTTCTTCCACGACGAAATATTATTGCATGGATCTGTTATGCTGAATTATATCATTCTATTCAAGAACTATATGCATCAATTATACTTCTAATTTCCATACTTGTCATCATTTGTTGCTGATGAATGACTTTCAATATATGACCTATTTGATATATTTATAGGCATAAACAGTTGATTTGTGTGCAATCAACCCTGACTATGACATTTTCTAAAAGGAAATAGATTATATTTAAAAACAATTATAAACAGCAGAAATGTTGATGTTATGTATCAATTATGGTATAAGAAGGCTTCCAAAACTCTGCAAAATGTAAAGTTAAAACTAAGACATAAAACTTCTTCAGCAATTCCTGGAAAGTACTTGTTTTTCAGTAGTTGATCAATAAGCATTGTCAATGCTACTGTTGGTGTGTTATCATGGCTGTTGTTGTTGCTGTTGATGTCTCTGTCGCAGTTTTTGTGAAATTTTCCTTGTTTGCTAGTAATCTGTTTCAATAAAATTAATTAGGACTAATGTAGTAATAATACAGTAAGTTTATGTGTTTGTAATTTTTGTCGCTGAAAAGCCCCTTCAGGGGAGTGCCAATAATGTCAATGAATCAATTAATCAACAATGAACAACAATGTATATTGGCACCACCTGTTACATACCTGTTGAGTTTAAGTTTGTCTTGATCTTTCATATTTTGTTTTGGCTTGCACAACAACGTTGAAAATGTATTTTTAAACGACGATTTCTGTATTTATTCTGTTTAGAACTATTGCTTTTCGTAAGAAAGCCCACTGGAATGAGTTTTTCTTTTTTACAAAACTTTTTTCCATTTTTAGTCTCGATATTTTGCAAATTTGCAGTTGAAAAAACAATTCGCATTCCCTGCAACCGCGCGAAATTCATTGCCTCAGGAGTCTGGGACCAACCAAAATGCCCTTATAAATCCGCCTTTTGTGGAGATAATTTTTTTCTGAGAAAAGATAGGAGTATGCATTCTATATCTATTATTTCTATGATAAAAACTCGTCCTTCAGTAGAGCTTAACTCATCAGTATGATCTTACCTTGCATGTTTCACAATAAAACTTGAGTGTTTTATCTGGATGTTTCTTACAATAAAATTTGCTTTTCATCTTGGCTTGACCTTCAGGACTGTTCAACTCGTCTACAGACAACACAGTATGTTTCTTGTTCCCTGGCCACTTGTTATGCCAATTACAACAATTCTCACACATGAACATTTCACATGTTAAACAACGATAAACTGCAGCAGACTCACAACTTTGACACTTTGATATCTAGGTAGAAAAAATCAAAATTACATGGAAAAATTTCAAATTCCGATTTAAGCAGGCTAAAACAACTAGGGGTCCAAGGTTAGTGTGAAGTTTCAAATTGAAAAAGACACTGCAAGAAGTATATACAGTCGCTGACAACCTAGAAAAGCTGATGGCTTACACTACGAAATAAACAGTTACTAAAGGCATTTCATCTCATTATTTATTGCTTTTAATACGTTCGGCACACGAGTAGCGTGACGTTTGAAACAAGCTTAACACACCAGAAACGTGCCTTGTGAAACTGATGCAATTTATCTATTTATTGTGATGTTACACGAGACAATTCAAAATTTAAATTGTTTCACCAACAACCAAAATTTGCATATTCTAAATTTTCATTTGCGTTAGCCGCTGTCGCTAAAAGCATCCCCACGAGGCTACTGCTATGCTAAATTTATCTAAAACTATAATTGAAATAGCTGTATAAGATATGTTATGAATAATAAGCACTACGTCGTTACATCATTAAAAGGACGCATTTTATCCTCATCCGTTCTGTGTTTTATCCGCATATCCGTTCCGTGGATCCGCTCCATCCGCTTCCGCATTTTAACCTAATTGTGACATGTTTCACAATAACAAGTCTCATTGACCTTTGACTTTTCCCAGTGAAACGTCTATTTTCGCATGTGTTGAATGTCACTTTAGATTTCAATAGTTTCACAGTTAAGCAGTGTTACGTTTAAAGCAGTTTTGACAAGCTTTGAACAGTTCTGTGTACAGAATACTACAGATTGATTCCCGTAAGATCTGGTAGAGTTATCGTTGCACTAAACAAGAGTTTTCGCCGTTGACAACAGCGTTGTGCTAGACAGTAAACAAAGACAAGATCCGTGACGGTACACGTTGGCTACATGTACGTCCTTGCTTTTTTCTTTTATTGCATAAAGCTTGTTGGCGAGCCAAGCGATTGGCGATATCACGTTGGCGATAACACATTGGATATCTCCTCGTCTTTCTCATTTAAATAAGGAGCTCTGACTTTCACTCAACTGATTTCTTTAGTCTCGCAAGTTATTTTCTTCGTAAACGCCGTACAAACGTTTACCCGCTTCTGTTTAATAGTTGTTTATGCTTTATTGATCTGATACAGATCTCATGCAATTTTTCGCTCTTTGTACTGAGTGTAGCCATCTATTCTGTGATGTAGCACCTTATACAGTCAATGGCAATGTATAATGAATACACGGTCTAAATAATATCGATGGGCACTCAATTGAATGCCGGTATTAAATGGTTAGCACTATTTTCCATCCAGCAAACTGACCTGACGTCATTTTCGCAAGATAGAAGAGGTGTTAAATGGCTATGTAACTAACCCAAACCCTACCCCTACTCTAACCCCTAACCCTAATCTCAACCCTAACTCTAACCCTAACTGAATTAATAAAAAAATCCAAAAAGAAACGACTTTACAAAATCGATAGGGCGGTTTGCTGGATGGAAAAAAGTGCCAACCGTATTAAACGTATAACATAATATTGTATTATTGCGTAGAATCTCAAAGATTTTCCTCAATATTCATGTCTGAAATGTTTATATACTTGAAAACAACACTGTCTCGCTTCTGCCTACGTACTGTACCTCTGTATAATGAGTATGCCGTGAAAATAATATCGGCACTCAATTGAATGCCTAGAATCTCAAAGAAATTCTCAATATTTACGTCTGAAATGTTTATACATTTGAAAACAACACTGTCGCTCCTTCCTAGCTCTGTATATTAATGAATATACCGTCCACATATATCAGTACTTGATTGAAAGACCGTCATGCATAACATAAATTTATATATTGCGTAGATTCTCAAAGATTTACTAATATTCACGTCTGAAATGTTTAAATTTATACATTTGAAAACAACACTGTCGCTCCTTCCTAGCATCGTGATCGTGATCTACGGCTTCAGAGCGCATGCGCATTTGCCCTGCTATAGAAAAATCGGGTGTTCCGGGGGGAAAGATCCTTTACACAACATGAGAAGCGAATGTTCTAAAATTACAAAAATTTACAATAACGACAACGATTCCTCGAAATTTTTGTGAACTTGGCAAAAGGACAAAAGAATATTTAAAGAAAATAAATAAAATTGCTTAAATAACTTTCAAAGCACTGACTAAGTACAATAAATCACTGCGAACATAAATCGTATACACCCCCCGGAAAGTTTACTCTATGATTGACTGACTGACTGACTGATTCGTGTGAATTCGCCAGCCATCACAACAGTGTGAAGTGAAACTTCACACTAAAAAGCACACATACCATGTTTTAGACGGCCAGCCACGCGCGTAAAAAGTGCTTATAAAACACATCCGATGGCATTTTTTGTTACAAGCAGGCAACCAGCACCAAAATGTAGCTTGAAGTATCACAAACACAGCTATATAGGTTTCCCGCTCTATTTCGGCTTTTAAAACCTTTAATTTTGGTGATTATTCTGCCAAATTTCAGTGCTGCGGCTCTGTTTGTAAAAGCCGTGAAATTCTATCCCCGGTGTTCATGGCAACAAACTCGTTTGTAATAATCATTCTGATTGGTCAAAATATTTCATTGTAACCAATAGGATTGATTTAACTAGAAAACTGAGCCCGCGCATGCCGAAGGACATGGAAATAATGCGCAATAAAATGGTAATTCTTTGCTCGAAAGATCGATTGAAACAAGGTTTTTATCAAACAAAACAGGCGACGAAGACACATAAAGTTTGTATTATATATTTATTAACATATTATTTCCTTATTATCGTTAACTAAAATAGTCATATATCGCTTGGATACTTGATATTTTTATAGCTTTTTGGGTGTCTTTGTTTGAAAATATGATTACCCCTATTTGATTTCTCTCTTTCATTCATGTCAAGTTAAAATAATGTAATCACTGTAGCACATAATATAGTCTTAATACAAGACACCAAACTATTCGAATTATATTTTCATTCTGAGAGGGGCAATGAAATATTGATTTAATGTAGTGTTGAATTTTTAATGTTCATAGTACATGTTATAAATATTATTAATAATGCAGTATTAAAAATCTTAAGGCACACAATTGTCAATTAATGGCTTCAACAACCTCATCTGGTTCAAAACGTAAGGAGGAAAGTATATCTCCTAGCGCAGCCTCACTATCAAAAAAGAAAAAAATGTAGTTATTCCTCTGATAAATGTCTATTTTGCCAATGTAACACATCAGGTGAGTTGAGAATCTCTTCTGATGATGGAAGAAGCAAGGCTGTCCAATGTGCAATTACCATATTAATTATTACCATATTATTATTATTACCATATTTGCTGTGCAATGTGGATTACCATAGCTAAAACAAAATAACAATTAGAACTTTGTTAAGGCTTTTCTAAGTTTGTTGATACAAAAAATTCTGCTAATTTCATGAATGATTAGGATTATCAGGACATGCGGTATACCATTTTATACTATGATCGATAATTGTTTTTGACTGATCTACATTGCATAATGTATGTGTTTGTATTGGCTTCTGGAGGGTACATCTTCAGTTTTGATGTAAATTGGCAAAACAAACAATAATTTATAATTGTGATTTTTTTTCGATTCAAATAATATTCATCTCACTATGTCACAAGCATGAGAAATACATGCGATTAGAAATTTTACTATAGCTACCAGCATAAAATCATATTCGGTAGAAAATTCAAAGTGGTCACAAGCCCAGCCAAAGGGACCATGAACATTGTAATGAACAGTGGCAATAAATGGAAACATTAAAATAATAAAAGAACTTTGGGAAAATTGTGTTCAAGTCAACCCATATCTGTGTCTGTGGTCCAGTATTGTTATTAAAAACATTGAACGTTTATACCTATTTGATCGAATGATATCCTACACAAGCCAAGGC